ATGAAACGCCTTCGAGAAGTTTTTCGCTCCTTGGATATAGCGTCCGCCATTATGTATGGACGCCATCTTGAATACAGGATTTCCCAGTCGCTCGGAAACCTAACCCATTCCCATGATCCAACGCGAGCGACTGGGAACGAGTCAGAACAAAAAGAGTGAGAAAATAACACCTTGTTCTACGCCCTCGGTGACATTCGATATTAAACTTTTTTCGCCAAAACTGACAAATTCTGATAAAGCATGCTTTCTTCTTTAATTTCCTCGGGGGGATTTTTAAAATTCGATCTAGAACGCGAAATATTTATGTTTGAATAACAGTGTTTCGACGCGCGTAAAATAGCAGACTCTCACTTGCACTATCTTTACACACACATAAAAATTGGTAGATTTGGCAGTTTAAACTTATTTTCCCCACACCACAGCTGACATGTTTTTAAATATTACCTATCTGATCTCATTTCGCATCGGAAATGCGTCACAACGATCCACGACTGACAGGTACAATATCACTTTACTCATTACTGTACTTAGTACATATCCGGTTGGCAAAATGGCGATTGTTTGACAGACCTTCGCGAAGGGCTTAATATTTTTGCTAACAAACTGTTCACGAGGGTTTCGCTCTGTTCGTCTTCTGGTTCGTCGTCAATCGTCATCGGCTGCCTCACTTTCTTGGTCGCTTTCGTCCTTTTCAAAGCAAGTCGCCGGGGCAATCAGCGTTAATATTTGCTGTCTTTCGAAGACCTTCCAAGAGCTTCAACATTTGCTAACGTTGTTGCTTCACAAACTGGGCAATCGCTGATGTTGGGCAGGATGCATTCGATGTGGAACGCAGGTCCACAACCACGGAAAACGTTCCAAGTGGATTAACCTTTTCGCAGGCAGGTAAATCGCAGGTAAGATTTATATTTGATACATTTATAGTCAGCGTCCTTGGTGATTGTTCCAAAATATGAGTGTGTGCCAAAGTTAAAATATTACTCATAATCTCCAGAACATGTTTGGACAATGTTTTGAATCACTGCAGTTTAGAATTAGCAGTCGTTTTAAAGACAACAGAACTGGCAGCCATGGCACCCATAACTATTCAGTGTACAATACCAGACAATGTAAATTACCACCTCCCCCAACCCAGAAGTAGGCAGTTTTTATTTCCCAGCACTGCATAATCAAAATTGCTGGATTGTATAAATGTCTGGCTTTGTCTCAGTGGCCCTGCTTTGCCCCATGAACCCCACATTTCCTAGATTCAAGCAAGCAGGGACTTATATTGACTGGTACTTAGGTCCTGTTTATATGGAAGCCGGGCTGGCCCGCTAAGTGAGACAGCCCGGTAAGCGAGATCTCGCTGTGTAGTTATTTTTATAGTAAAAATTATTGTGCGTTTATATGGACAAGTGGGCTGGCCAGGTTGCCGAGATCTCACTTGAAAAGAGGTGAGATCTCACTTGAAAAGAGGTGAGATCTCGCTTACCGGGGTGGAAATTTCTCCATATAAACACTCACAAGCTGGCTAGCCCAGTTGCTGGGATGAAAGATACCGCCGCAAGCTATTTTTAACAACTGTCAAAACCAGCAAGCGGGATGAAATTTTCCCATATAAACACAAGAGAAATTCATCCCACCTGCCTGTCTCGCTAAGCAGGCCAAGCCCGGCTTCCTGCATATAAACAGGCCCTTAGTTGAATTGCAGCACTTGGTCTGCCTGTGTGTTACTTTTAAGTGTACCCTGGTTCTTTGCAAGGTAAAAGAAACAAGAGGTGAGAATGGAAAGCCTCTGATCATATCAATTGCAAATCCCACTTCCACACTTGAATAGGTTCAGAATTTGAATCTTGCATGTGATTGGCCATTTGTAAAAATATGTCAAACCTGTTTGGGAAATAAACACTACTGTGAGCTAATTATAGCTATCTATCTATTTAGCATGCCAAATAGGGCCGGGTCACCACAACAGCATATGCAAATTACTGTGAGCCCCTTTTTACCCAACCCACCCTGTCAACTTTCCATGTGGGAGGAAACTGGAGTACCCGGGGAAAACCTGTGACGTTCGGCAGAGCGTTGCGGTTTATTCTTTTCACATGAGGACTGGGTTTGAGTCGCATTGAGAAAGTTCTCACTGACTTGAACCTGTGGCCTCAGAGGTAACAGGCAAGTGCACTAACCACTTGGCCACCGAAGCCCCAATTAAAAAGCCCCAAGCTATTATAGTAAACTCAACCAAGCATGAATATTAATACTCCCGCAGGTGAAAAGGTATTAAATTTCTCAGGAGATAAACATATCAACAGTTTTGCAGGACATGTAATACATTCTTGGTTGAGTTTAATAGAATATTTTAATACAGGCTATAATTAGCTTACAGCAATGTTTATTTCCCAAGCCAGTTTGGCATATTTTTACAAATGGGCAATCACATGCGAAATTCAAATGCTGAACCTAATCAAGTGTGGAAGTGGGATTCGCAATGGACAGTGACCCTGGGCTGTACACAGCACAGGGGAGGGGGCGGCAGGAGGGGGAAACTGCCCTCCTAAAGAAAACTATATTTACAATTTTTAGAATGTCATTATTAATTATTCTTTGGATATTAGGCTCTCCGTTCTCGCATCTTGTTTCTTTCGCCTCGCAAAGAGCCTCTGGAACCAGAGTACACTTAGAGTAACACACACACACAGAGCAAATAATATAATGCTTTTAAGGCAGTGAATTGGTAGGAAAATCTTTCAATAATATCCTGTGATTATGGTAAACTATGAACCAAACCAGACAATATAAATCCCTGCCTGCTCAAATCCCAAGTGTGGGGCAAAGCAGGGTCACCGAGACAAAACCAGATATTTACACACAGATATTTACAGATAGTGACAGTGCTGAGAAGTAAAAACTGCCTACTTCTGGGTTGGGGGAGGTAGTAATTAATTACATTGACTAGTATTGTACATTAAATAGTTATGGGGTGCCATGGCTGCCAGTTCTGTTGTCTTTAAAAGAGTTAAAGGACTGCTAATTCTAAACTACAGTGATTCAAAACATTCAAACATGTTCTAGAGATTATGAGTAATATTTTAACTTTGGTACACACTCATATTTTGGAACAATTTCCAAGGACGTACTGACTATAAATGTATCAAGATCTGTAAATATAAAATATAAATCTTCCTTTAAAATTTCCATCGATTTGCGATTTGCCTGCCTGCAAAAAGGTTAATCCACTTGGAACGTTTTCCGTGGTTGTGGACCTTCGTTCCACATCAAATGTATCCTGCCCAACATCAGCGATAGCCCAGTTTGTAAAGCAACGTTGAAGCTCTTGGAAAGACAGCAAATACTAACGCTGTTTGCTCCGGCGACTTGCTTTGAAGAGGACGAAAGCGACCAAGAAGTGAGGCAGCCGATGACGATTGACGACGAACCAGAAGACGAACAGAACGAAACCCTCGTGAACAGTTTATTAGCAAAAATATTAAGCTCTTCGCGAAGGTCTGTCAGCTATTAACTGTGGTCAGACAATCGCCATTTCGCCAACCGGGTACTTTTAATGTACAGTAATGAGTCATGCGATATTGTACCTGTCAGTCCTGGATCGTTGTGACGCATTTCCGATGCGAAATGAGATCGATGAGATCAGATAGGTAATATTTAAAAACATGTCAGCTGTGGTGTGGGGAAAATAAGTTTAAACTGCCAAATCTACCATTTTTTATGTGTGTGTAAAGATAGTGCAAGTGAGAGTCTGCTATTTTACGCGCGTCGAAACACTGTTATTCAAACATAAATATTTCGCGTTCTAGATCGAATTTTAAAAATCCCCCCGAGGAAATTAAAGAAGAAAGCATGCTTTATCAGAATTTGTGAGTTTTGGCGAAAAAAGTTTAATATCGAATGTCACCGAGGGCGTAGAACAAGGTGTTATTTTCTCACTCCTTTTGTTTACATGTTTCGAATTTCAGGCATTCTGATTGGTGAAGAACGCAAAATGTAAACAAACGCGCTGATTGGCTAACATTATTTGCCCTTGTTGTACTTAACTGATCAGACAGTTTTGAATCAGTGTATGGTAACACCAGGAATTTCCCCTCGTGGGAACTATAAGGTTCCCGACAGGGGGAGCTTTTCTTTTCCTTGGAAATTCAGGGACAAGTTCCCCCAAAAAAGCATTGAATTGAACATCGAGTTAAATTGGAGGTCTTTCTCTGACGACGTGCAGTATTATAGAATGACAATCCATTCAAAATCCCGTTCAAAAATATCAGCTAGTTCACCCCATCCTTATCAACACCATTGGTAAGATAAATACCTATAAAATTCCATGTTTTCCCTCTCTTTGTAACATGAATATTACTTGATCCGTTCTTTAATATAAGCATTGTATCTGCGTTACCAAAACCTATAATATAAAAAGAAACTTAATCGGTAATCCAATAAGTTGCTCGTCTGAAAAATCCTGCATGCATTTATGCCTGCTATAAGTTTCTTTCGTTAATGGCTATTGCATAGCTAGCTGTTACGATGTTGCCTTAGATAAGATGACATTAAACAAGCGTTCTGAAGAATATTGATCAATTCATTTGCTAACTTCAAGCAACAAAATAAACGATTACAAAAAACTTTCCAGATCTAAACTGATCGTCTCGGCCCATAAAATGGCCGCCATAGCATAGGTATAGGATGTACAATGCAATACCAATAGTACATGCAGTGGTCTTGTTAAGTTATGTTAAGTAAAAGCATGTTATAAAATGTTTCAAAATACATAATGCAATTGAAAAAGCTGCATGGTAAATATAACATGTTTTCCATTTCCACCATCGCTTTCAGCTCTATCCAAAAATAAGTGCGCTGTACCATATCTACTGTGATCTTTTGTATAATTTGCAGTTTTTAATTCACAGGTTGTACCCAAACCACCACAGCGTCCACAACGATCAGGTACTTTGTCGGAGTTCAACTCCTTATCACAGCCCACAGTCTATATATAAAGAAAAGAATACAAATCAATAATAAGACAATATACATAAAAAAATGCCGTCTATAGTTTGCATTTAGTCGTAGCGTTTGCCATTATATCGAAGTGGACGTTGTAATAGGATGTCATGTATATACAGGGTGTATAAAAAAAAACTGAACATATTTGAAATTGCTCTCAATTTCGCAAAACAGCTATTAGTATCCAGTATTTTTATATATATGGCTTCTTTGGGTACTCATAATGTAGAATAATGTAAAAATTTCGCGAACACAAATTTTGTAAACCAGGGGGGGGGTATCTTTTCGGACAAATTAAAAATGGCTTGCGCATGCGATTTAAAATCTATAATCGTATTTTGAGTTAATGAATGAAAAATGTGTTGGGTGTTTAATTGCTGCACGAAATTTCAGACAATTTGCTTCAGTTTAAAACCTTCAACTATCCACGCAAACTTACATTTTTCCTAAAAAATCAGCAATTTGCATGCTTAATTATGCATTTGCCCAATTTACATATGTCAGCAATATGCAAATTAGGCAAAGGCATTAATTAATATAAGCATGCGAAAGGCTGATTTTTTAGGGAAAAATGGAAAGTTAAAGGGCTTAAACTAAAGCAAATTGTCTGAAAGTTTGTGCAGTAATTAAAAACCCAACAAATTTTCCATCCATATTCTGCGCATCAAAACATTCCTTCAGTGGGGGAGCGACCTTTGGAATGTTGTTAATATTTCGCTCTTTCCGAACTTTCTTGAATTGAATCTCTAGTCTGTATTCATTTACAAGCATAACAAACCAGAAAAGTGTTAAAAATTCAGTATAATATATATCTAATCATATTTTACAACTGTAGCACTGAGTTCAAAATGTAAACAAAGCGTTTGTTTACATTACGGACTTTACATCACCTTTAAATTTCGTGCGCAAGCCATTTTTAGTTTGTTGGAAAAGACACACCCCCTGGTTCACAAAATTTGAGATCGAGAAATCTTTTTCATTATTCTACCTTATAAGTACCCAAAGAAGCTATATATATAAAAAACTAGATACTAATGGCTGTTTTGCGAAATTGAGAGCAATTTCAAATCTGTTCAGTCTTTCTTATACACCCTGTATATACTAAAACTGTCTGTACCGGTGTGGGTAGTCCAATGTGAAAATGCTGTGCTGAGTGGTTATATTACTACCTTTAAAAAATAAGCAGAAACTCAAAAGTTACACACCATATATATATATATATATATATATATATATATATATATATATATATATATATATATATATATATATATATATATATATATATATATATACAGGGTGTATCAAAAAAAACTGAACAGATTTGAAATTGCTCTCAATTTCGCAAAACACCTAGTTGTATCTGTTTTTTTATATATAGAGCTTCTTTGGGTACTTATAATGTAAAATAATGAAAAAAATTTCTCGAACTCAAATTCTGTGAACCAGGGGGGTGTGTCTCCCCCAACAAACTAAAAATGGCTCGCGCACAAAATTTAAAAGCTGTAATCATATTTTGAGTTAATAGATTTAAAATTTGGCGGGTTTTTAATTACTGTACAAAATTTCAGACAATTTGGTTTAGTTTAAGCCCTTTAACTATTCATTTTGTTCTAAAAAGTCAGCCATTCGCATGCTTAATTAATGCCTTTACCTAATGTGCATATTGCTGACATATGCAAATTAGGCAAATGCATTAATTAAGCATGCAAATAGCTGATTTTTCGGGAAAATTGTAACTTTGCGTGAATAGTTAAGGGGCTTAAACTAAACCAAATTGTCTGAAATTTTGTACAGTAATTAAAATCCCGACAAATTTTCCATCTGTTAACTCAAAATATGATTGCAGCTTTTAAATTTTGTGCGCGAGCCATTTTTAATTTGTTGGAAAAGACACACCCCCCTGGTTCACAAAATTTGAGTTCGAGAAATTTTTCTCATTATTCTACATTATAAGTACCCAAAGAGGCCATATATATAAAAAACCCGGATACAAATAGCTGTTTTTCGAAATTGAGAGCAATTTTAAATCTGTTCAGTTTTTTTTTATACACCCTGTAGATATATAGAGTACAATCTCTTCAGCCGATTTAGTGAGATTCTTTGTTGGAAATTGAAATTTTCCACCATCTTTTATTCTTTCTTTCGAACATATCATGCATTGTTTGGGAAATAACCCTCTTGAGCATGCAGCACCTGTCGCAGAACTTGCTTTCGAAGGTCGTTTGTTGCTTTTCGTGGTTTCATTTTCGTTCTCCAATTTTCTTTTGAGCAATGCTGACCCCAATGCTCAGGCATAGTTAAATTTATGGCAACAATCCCTGTGATAGTTAATTAATTTTGAACGCTTAAGGTTTACTAGACAATTAAAATTCGTGCAAATTAGACCGCAGAAGGCTTTAAAGAACCCAAAAAGAGTTTTAAAAGCCTAAAATTACCTCATTAAAACCATTTTTACACGAAAAACATATTGATTTTCCATGGTTGCTAAGTGTTGCTAGGGATGATATACTGACCAATGAGATAACAAATTTAGTTAAAGCAGGATTATGATTGTACGGTGGCTCAGAAGGGACATAGTCTCTCTACTATTTTATTGTTCCTCTTATTTTGTACGTTGCAACTTACGTTGCGACTTGCTACTTAGGTTGCGACTTAGGTTGCGCCTTGGGTTGCGACTTACGTTGCGACTTAGGTTGCGACTTACGTTGCGACTTACGTTGCGACTTACGACTTCCGGTTAGTCACGTGAAAAACGCAAGTACAGTAGCGGTTATGTCATGTGTTGTTTCCGGGTACATAAATTCAAAATCGTTAGCTCAGAGTAAGAAGTATGGCGTTTGTCTATCTTGTTTTCTTTGCCTTAATATGTTCAGCTACAGCAGTTATGCCAAATTATAGCCCAGCAATTCAAGCAGACGGGTTAAGCCGTGATGAAATTATCGAAAAGTATTTTCATCTTGGATTGAGCAATGCAGAAATTTTAGGATTCATTGTGAACTTTCATGGCATTCGTCTGAGTCTACGGCAACTAAAGAGGATTTTGAGAAGAAGAAAATGTAAAAGGCGAAACGACCAAGACAATCTTGAAGATGTCGTCTGTGCAATAGAAAACGAACTGAAGGGTAGCGGTAGTGTTATTGGGTATTGATCGATGCACCAACGTCTAACTAATGAATATGGGTTAGTAGTGACAAGGAAAACAGTTCGACTAGTATTGAAAATTTTGGATCCAGATGGAGTCGAATCCCGATCAAGACACCGATTGAGGAGAAGGTTATATAGTGCAAAAGGTCCGAACTATCTTTGGCACATAGATGGATATGATAAACTCAAACCATTTGGATTTTGCATTCACGGTGCCATCGACGGTTACAGCCGCCGTGTCCTATGGCTAGAAGTTTCATCACCAAACAATGACCCGGAAATAGTAGGAAAATATTATACCGACTATGTGGATACTATAGGGGGCACGTCACGTATAATTCGGGCGGATAGGGGCACAGAAAATGTAAATGTAGAGGCAATGCAACGGTTTTTTCGCAATCATCAGAGGACGATTTTGCACGAGATAAAAGCTTTATGTACGGACGATCAACATCTAACCAACAAATAGAGGCGTGGTGGGGATTGCTGCGAAAGGGATGTCCTGATTGGTGGATACGTTTTTTCAAGGATTTAAGAGGCGTTGGTTTGTTTGATGATGATGACTTAATTCAAAGAGAATGCATTAAATTCTGTTTTATGGAAATAATACAAATTGAATTACATAAAGTGGCAAGGAACTGGAATACTCACAGAATCCGACCTTCAAATAATGCAGAATCCCCTCCAGGTCGTCCCAATGTTCTCTATTTCAATCCTGAGATACTTGGCAGCCAGGACTACCTGATACCTGTAGATATAGATGAAAGAGAAATAGCCGAGGAAATGTGCTGCACTCAACCTTCGCCTCGAGGATGCTCTGACGAATTCAATGCCCTTGCTGAAATGATCATGGAAGATGAAGGATTACAAATGCCTACTAATGCAAATGAGGGGAAAGGCCTTTACATTACTCTCCTTAGGTTGATCGAGGAAACCGAGAACGATGAATAAAAAGATTTACATACGAAATTGTCAATGTATAAAAGAGCAATTATGTAGTTCAGGAAAAAATCTATGTTATCGTATACACACTCACTAAGATGAGCGCATGCATGTTCAGATAAATAAGTATCACTTTGTAAATATATAGATTTATTTAATAATCCATTAATGGTTACACGACAAAAGCGAACATGCTACAGTACTTGCCAACTCAGGCAATTGGTCAGGCAAATGTTCAATGATTGAATCACTCACTATACAGTAGTACAGCTAAATTAGACCAAAATCATGGTTAGCGTATAGTGTAAACACGGCAATAACAAGAACACAACAAGTTATTTACAGGGTTTAAAAACTGATTTAAAAATGGTTCTTTGCCTTATTTGTCCAAAAAGACATACATTTTTACATACACTGCTCTCGTGAATACTAAATATAATATTTAAATCATTGAAATACTGAATTTCAAGATTATTTATATTGTTATTACTATTATTATTATTATTACTATTATTATTATTACTATTATTATTATTATTACTTAGAACTAATTACTTTTAGAACTTTAAATTTTTAACTTTCGACCTGAACAACGTAAAACACAAACCATACAGGAAATCCAATGACGATCCATTGTACATCAACAGACTGCATTAAAACCATCCACCAAGCATTACGAGTTAGATATACCTACCGCTATCAATAAACGCATTGCACTTCTCTCATCGGACGAACAAACATTTAAGGAATCTATACGCCTATATATTTATCAGAACGCCCTTATAGACATAGTAACTTTGATCACGAATTTACGTACACTCATGCAGGATGCATCACAACGGACACGTATAGGAATAGGCAACCAACATAATTTGGTTCAATCCACCATTTAGTAAGAGTGTTAACACGAACATAGGAAGGGAATTCTTAAGTTTAATTGACAAACACTTTCCACTATAGCTACGGCACAAACTACACAAGATTTTCAACAGAAACACTTTAAAAGTAAGCTATAGTTGCACTACCGAAACAATGTATGGCCAACATGCAACATTATTTACAAAGCCACTGCAGTCACAACGAACAACACGAACGACACTAAACACTATATATATTGGTATGACCGCGACTACATTTAAGGAACGTTACGCTATAACCACACTTTATCTTTTCGTCATAAAAAGACTCAAACAAAACGGAACTTTCGAAACATATTTGGAAATTAAAAGAAAACAATCAGGATTATACCATCAAATGGTCAATTTTAAAACACGCTATTTCGTACACAAGCGGATCAAAACGCTGCAATTTATGTTTGGAATAAAAAATTTTCATTTTGAAAGACAAAAACAAAGACAATTTACTCCATAAAAGAAGCAAGTGTCCTCAAAAAACCGGTTTCGAGTAAACAAGGTCGTTAACAAAATTTAATGACCCAAGCATTGTTTCGCCTAAGCAGAGTTTCGCCTAAGCATTAATTGTTTCGCCTAAGCATTAATTGTTTCGCCTAAGCATTGTTTCGCCTACACGCATTCCGCGCATTCTTTCGATAGCATAAAAGCAACCTATATTTTCGAAATTACTCACCACCTGATGATTCGTATACGGATGAAACAGACTGTTGTTTTGAGGTAAAACGAAAAACTGTATTACGCCCTATCTATATGGTATTGAGCACTGTTTGTGTTTCGTAAACCAAAAACTTAAGCTATAATTATATATATATATATATATATATATATATATATATATATATATATATATATATATATATATATATATATATATATATATATATATATATATATATATATATAT